GGTTTTGTTTTCGGACAGGTCCTTAAAAACAGAAAAACTTTCCTAGCTGTGGTCAGAGGGGAATTTTTTAATTTTTAATTTCTTATTGAGATTTGGGTGAAAGCTAACAGAGCTATGGGAGAAGGAGTCACAGAAAGGAAGCCTCTGAGCTAGAAGACACAAGGACACAGATCTTGCTACAGAAACTTTCAAAGGACCCAGCCCTGCTGCCGCCTTCATTTTAGCCCGGAGAGAACCTTTTTGGAACTCTGACCTCCAGACGCATAAGATAATAAATGCGGGTTGCTGGAAGGCACCAGGTTTGTGGTCGTTCTTTGTGTCGGTGATAGAAGCTAATACAAGTGTCAAGGAAAGCTAGGAGAGACGGTGGACCACAATCAGTGTGGAAGCCAGAGGACAAAGGGCAGGTTGCAGGGGAGACATGCTTAGAGGGCCCAGCAGGCCAGGTGGCAGAGACCAGGACGGGCAGGACCGAGACGGGACAAGAACAGGGCTGTGCTACCCAAAGCACCTTGAGAGTGAAGTCTCAGGTCAGGGGGCTGATCTGACTTGGAAGTCAAGGTCCTTCCGCGAGGGGAGAGTTAGCTGGACACCAGCTGCTCAGTTAGATCAAGGGAGGGTGGAAGGGAGTGGGACCTTCTAACAGGCACAACCCTATCAAGTTGCCAGCTGTGTTCACGCTACTCACCTCTTTAGGTGAAGAAGTCAGGTCCCCTTAAGGTGCAAGGATCCTTGTAGTGCAGCCTGTGAACACAGAGAGAACTAGTTAACAAGACATCCCTGCTAGGCACCTGCCAGGGTCCCTGCAAGAAGGGCCCCAGGCTTGATGATGAATTAGTGTGAATAAGAGCGATAACTGAGAACTATCCGTGGTAGGTTTGCAGCGTTAGCTGAAAACAAGCACTGAGCACGGCATGAACACAACACATCGTTGTTGAATGAATAGATGAAATCAGGAAGCACGTGGGGAAACAATGACGGGAAGGAGGCACAATAATAGGACTGAGGTTCCAAGGGTCATCATGACCCAGCTAACCGTTGTCTTAAAAGCTCTCGTCCTATGCCTGGTCTTGTAAGTCTTCTTCTTTTTTTTTTTTTTAGTTCTGATTGAGATTTCGGTGAAAGTTGACAGAGCAAACTCACTTTCCACACAGCAGTTCATACACATTTTGTTTCATGGCATTGACCACAATTCCCCACAATGTGACAGCTCCCCTCCCACTTCCTCCCCGTAGTCACCTCTTCCCTGTGTCCTTCCCTCCATGCACTCCCACCCCTTCAGCTGTCTCCCTGTGCACACACAGCCCTTCTTTCTCCCACAATTGATCCTTCTAAGGAGTGTATCTACCTGATGTCAAAGTTCACCCCGTATGCCTGTCTATTGTTTTGCTGGAAGCCATGGGAGTGAGTTCAATTCCAGACATGAAAGGTAATTAGGGGTGATAGTGTTGGGGCTCTCACCAGGCTCTGTCAGACCCATAAACCTGGTCTTTTTTTTATGATTTTGAGTTTTGCTCCACATTGTTCTCCCTCTCTATCCAGGATCTCCTGCACAGATCCCCCTCTGAGTGGTTGACAGTGATAGCCGGGCACCATCTAGTTCTTCTGGTTTCATAGTCATATAGGCTGAGGATCACATGGTGTATCAGTGTCTTGGACTGATAGTTTTCATGAATCTTTTTTTTTTTTTTATTCTTCTTTTCTCCAGAGAAGGAAAGACCTATTGTTGCATCTAGATGGCTGTTTGCAAACTTTGAAGCCCCCGTCACAACTCGCCCAAGTAGGATGGGGAACAATGTGTTTGTGTATCATGTTATAGCAATCAAGCTTGATGTCGTCTGTGACCTTGGGACACATCCAGTTTTCTGGTCTGGTTCTGTCCATAATATTTGCTACTTGACACTGGGTGCATCCCTAATGAAGTCTCTGTGGCTTGATTCCCACCGTTGTGAACGGGGATTCTCAGACTGGACTTTCCTGACTGCAGGATGACTTAGACCTCACTCATCACTGTCCCTTCTAACACCAGCAAGCCCACGTCAACTCTGCTCCCTGCCCAATTTCTCTTCTCCTTTCAGTTTCTAGCAAGCTTGTATTTCCTTTCCCGTTTTGAAATTCCTTCCCTAACCCAAACCCAAAGCAAACCAGCTACTGTTGGATCCTGACACATAGCAACCCCAATGTGGGTCAGCATAGAACGGTCAGCTCCATGGGGTTTCCAGTGGGTAACGGTGAACTCGCATATCTGCTACCGGGAAGGACAAGAGTTTTGGTCCACACAGAGGTGCCAGGAGAGCTGTGTCTGAAAAACTAGTGACTGAAAAACGTAAGGAGAACAGTTCCAGCCTGCACACACACTCATGGGGCACCATCAGTTAGAATTGACTGAACAGCAATTGGTATTAACACTAAACCCCAAAAAAAACCCAACCCCACTGCCATGGTGTCAATTCCAAGTCATAGCAACCCCATTCCTTGGGTTTCCAAGGCGTCAATCTTTATGGAAGTAGATTATCTTATTTCCCTCCATCACACCAGCTGGTGGGTTTGAAGTGCCGACCTTCTGGTTGGCAACCAAACGTCTTACCTACTATGCCACACATATTAATTAAAGGAGGTCTTGGATTCTGCAAATGAGAACATGCTTGGGTGCTAACTGAAAGTCTGGGGGTTCGAATCCACATGGAGGTTCCTCAGAACTTGGGGCTGATGGTCTATTTCTGGAAAATGAACCACTGCAACTCTATGGAGCGTATTTCTACTGTAACGCACACACAGGAACACTCTGAGTCAGAATCAAGGCAATAATGTCTGGTTTAGTGGTTTTATTTTAGGTCTTTCCAACACAGGGAGCGCTGCACCCTATGCCCTGAAGCTGGTCCCAAGCATGCAGGGGAGGGGGTGGGGTCAGCAGAGGGCTTCCCCAGAACCAGGGAAACTGAGGCAGTGCCCCAAATAAGTGAAAAAAACAAAACTCATGACTGTCCAATTGTTCCACGTGTGTCAGTGTGAATCTTTGATCCACAGGGTTTTCTTAGTGTCGTGCCTAAAGCACTTGACTGCTAACCAGAAGGCTGGCGGTTCAAACCCACCAGCCACTCCTTGGAAGGAAGGTTGGTCAATCTACTTCAGTAGTGATACCACCTCAGAAACCCAAGGAGGGGTGGCTAGGAGTCGGGTCCGACTCGACAGCACATAACAACAATCTTTTTTAGGAGCTCTGGTAGCATAGTGGTAAGACACTTGCCTGCTAACCAGACGGCTGGCGGTTCAAACCCACCAGCCACTCCTCGGAAGGAAGGTTGGGCAAACCTACTTCAGTAGTGATACCACCTCAGAAACCCAAGGAGGGGTGGCTAGGAGTCAGGTCCGACTCGACAGCACATAACAACAATCTTTTTTAGGAGCTCTGGGGCTACAGTGATTAAGTACTCAGCTGCTAACTGGGAGGTTGGTGGTTTGAACCCACCCACCAGCTCCGAGGAAGAAAACATTAGGTGATCTACTAGCCTAGAGATGACAGCCTAGGAAGCCCTTGGGGCAGTTCTACTCTGTCCCATGGGCTCACTCGGTTTTGGAATTGACCCCACAACCCATCTTTCTAGGAGATAGCCAGGCGTTTCCGCTGCAGCTTTTTCCTACGTGGATTTGAAACGTCAGCCAGGTTAGTGGTGGACTGTTTGTGCTACCGTGGACTTGGTGCTTGGATCTGAGGTTCAGTCAGCAATAATTCACACGCTGACATGCACCCCATGTGGCATTCCACCAGCACCTTTGTTGTTCTCCACGGTGGGTGAGTGGGGGCTTTGTGTAGGATTCCTGGCACCCGCCTTCTGACGGGGAGGAGTGTCAGGGACACCTCCAGGAACCAGTCTTTGAAGACAGAGACAACAGGGTGCTTACCTGTGAGCCCTGAGCCCTTCTCCTCCCTCTGCGCGTCCCTCCTTGCAGGTCGGTGGCCCCAGCCTCAGGCTCCAGCACCTAGTGTCTCTTTAAAAACTTCTCTGGCTGGCAGAGACTCTGCGTTCTGCCTGGGGCCAGAGCCCTTGTTCCGTTTTCTCCTGGGCTCCCTCCCCCTCCCGGTGCACTTCCTCATTCTTTATAAAGAGTTGGGAAACCCTGGTCGGTGAGCTTGCTGCTAGAGCAGCGTCAACGTGGCTACATCATCTGTGTCACTGATTCTACACCTGTGGGATGTCCAGTCGCGCCACCCCTATCTTCACGTCCACACCATCTGTGCTGGTTAAGGTTGTGTGTCAACTTGGCTGGGCCTGGCTGAGTGGCTGGGCAGCTGGATGTGGTATTCCCCATGAAGAGACTGGTCATCAACCCCATGGTGGAATCTATTGGAGCAGCTGAGTAGCTGCTTTAGGGATGTGGGCTGCTTCCTGTATATAAGGAGAAGCCTTGAGGGATAGTCTCTAGCTTATGGCACCTTGAACCCTGCATGGAGCTGAGTCGTTGTTCAGCAGCCAGCCATACTCTGCCGACCTTGCACTTAGAATGGTGAATGAATGGCCTGCCGTGTAGTTTGGTAACATCAGGGCTGTGCCATTTTACTTGTCGACCTTGGGCTTGTCAGTCTCAGCAGCCAGCAGCTGCCTGAGTGAAGAAAAGCCTCTAGCTTCAGTGGGCCGGGAGCAGGAGGCAGAGCTGAAGCCCAAGGTTGAGGGGCTTTGACCCAGCCCCTAGAGC